TGTAAATCAAGTGACTATTCTCTGATTCATATACTAAGAGACTGCAAAGGACTAAAGAAATACCATAAAAAATATGAAATTATAGAAGTAATATCTACGAAGCAAAATCAAGACTTTAGAACTAAATTAAACAATTTTACGTTAAATCAAATGTATAAAATTAATGGTTTTTTTAATCAAATTGCAATTTAATACTAAACGATTATTGTAATGTTATTAATGATCTTGAGTGTGATGTATATCAAACGATGAAAATTAAAAGTTACTTAAAGTAAAATATTTAAAAAGGAAAATAATGATAAAATTTAAAACTAAACAATTATTGTAATGTTATTAATGATCTTGAGTGTGATGTATATCAAACAATGAAAAATTAACAAATGTATAATAATATATTATTGGAAAATACCCCCTGTAACAAGGCTTAGCCTTAATGCAAATAAAAATATTTGATTGAAAAAAAAAATTATTTTCTTTGACAATTTTTATGATGAAATTAGACATAAAAGTTTTCCCTGTTATAAACAGAAGGTAAATTATCAGAAGTCTTCACAGAGTAAATTCTATGAAGTACAATTTGGTTGCATTTGAATTTATTCATTTAATGTTTTCTATAGTGTTTTTACATTTCTAAGAATAATTTACATAACTGTTATTTCAAAAACCTTTTTATTATTGGTTTATACTAATGCTAAGGTTTGTTAAATTGTCTATCAATTTTTCTGATATTTTAAAACTTAAATGTAATTAAAAGATATCAAATTATCTAAATTTCAATTTATTTATTTATTTTTTTAAATTTGAATTTTATATCTAATATGAATTTAGTAAGTGAATGTAATTTGCACACAAAGGCTGTATCAAAAATTTCAGATAAGACATCAATAGGAATGTCTGGTATATTAACAAAACAGAATAAAAATTTATTTTAATTGAGTTTATGCTTATGGGATCCTTTTTTTCTTTTCCAAGATTCTAGTTATGGTTGGTAACCAGCAATTGTTTCATCCCTATTTTTTTCTCACGTTGCAAAAGTACAAAAAATAATATCTGTTCATGCATTACAATAATTATAAACTAAGGCTATTGTAAAACTATTTTAAAATATAAAACAAGAACATATGGAATAAGACACATGAAGAGAATAGAAATAGAATAAGGATAGAAATATCCATGTTATTTTTTCTTTGTGTTTGGATGATATAGCTCCTTTCTGATGAAGAGAGGGTCCACTGAAAAGTCTTTGTACAAAGTTTCACTTCTTTTTTTTAGGCATAATAAATTTTGATGACATCCTTTTTCTTTTTTTCTACTTGTCACAAAAGTTCATTACACAATTCATGGACTACACTTGGGTCACTTGTCGCACTTTTTGACCACTGCATGAGATGCTGCCTCTTCTCATTCAACTCCGCTCCTAATGCTGCCAGTCTTTTTCTCAGTTGAGAGGAAAAGTCTGTCCTCTTCTTCTGATGATCAGGTGAGAAGTGGCCTGTGACTCTCTCATAGTATGAGCAACAATTAGTTTCACTTAGGGACCAGTCCCTTTGGTCATGTGGTACTTCAAAACGTCATCCTGTAGCCTTCGCCCCTAGCTCTCAGCAAGGGAAATGCTGATGAGCAAGCAATACGCTGCTTTTCACTTAAATTAAAAATTTATTTTTCATTTGAAACATTGTTTAAAATATGTAAACACAATTTTAAATAAAATTTTATTAAATTTTTGTATCTTTCAGGGCTGTGGAGTCACATAAAAATCTACTGACTCCAACTCCAACTCCGACTTTTACTTACCATCCAACTCCGACTTTTCCTTACCATCCGACTCTGACTCCATTTCATATACACAACAAGTTGGTAAGTAAAAAGGAAGTCGGAGTCGGCGGATTTTTTGACGACTCTGACTCCGGCCAAAACTCCACGACTCCGACTCCACAGCCCTGGTATCTTTACAATTTATTTGATTAAATTATTGTTTGTAGAAGTTAAATTGCAATTTTTTGAAAAGTGGTATTCTTATCTTTTTAATTTTATGGTTTTATTCAGGGACATGATCAACTGGGCAATGGTAATTTGGGTAACAAACTAATAGCTGAATAATATACAAATAATAAACAAAATAACATTTTTTTTATTGTTTTGTTTATTGTGTATATTTTCTAAACTATATAGTATTTTTTATGCAAAAAAGGTGTCAGGAATTTAATATTTTTGTTTATGCCATGTATCAAAATTTGTAGAATCGTTTAAGAAAGTGGAATAAAAATGATTTATTATTTTGTAATTAACAAACATATTTACACATGTTACATACCGTANTTATTGATCTATTTCCTGGTAAATTTCAATAATACTTTTGAAAGATTTAACATAAAATTTAAAAAAAGCTCACTTATAATTAAGTAAATTTTTAAAATTACCCACTTATAAACTTGTTCTTGATGTCAGTGAAAACAGATCTCTCATGAATCTGTAGTTTTTAGGACTTTGAAAATACAGAGACAAGCTAAATTCATCATTGCAGCTGACCATTTTTTCCCTCCTTTTTTATGAGATCCAAAGTTGATTTGGGCTATCAAAAAACTTTTTAATGGTGCAGAAAAATGATCTGATATGTAAGCTATTATATCTTCTCTAAAAATTTGTTTTTGTTTTTTAGGTGAATGAACTGATTTCATTGCATTGAGGCTTTTATTAAGTCTTGCTTTCTTTGATTTTTGTATTTTGTAATTGTTTCATTTTTGTTTTAGGAGAACTTGCTTCAGCTGAAGATGTAGTTGCCTGTTGCATTCCTAGTTCTGATGAAGTTGATGAGTTGTGTGATAGCATTAGATTGTTTGTTCAGGGATAGCATACCTACCTTTCTTTGTTGACTAAAGATCTGTGTGTCTTCTCAGTGGACATCAACAAGGTTCTATTTGTGATGGAGGATTTGGGATGCTAAATATAGTTGGAACTGCATTCCAAATTAACAGATGTTTTCCTGCATTCATGAACATGTAATCTTCAAAATGGTCAGCACAAATTTGACACTTTGCATACAAATAATCAGGAGATTTTTTTAAGACATCTTCCCTTCTGGTGTTTATTACCAATTTTTTACACCTGAAATTTTTTCCTGCATCAGACATACATATATTCTTATATTTTTATATACCAGCTAAAATATTATTAAACCACCCATTCTTTAAAAGTAAATGCAATACAGATATCTGTATGTTATACATTGAAACAATTTTATATATTTTATATAACGTAAGATAATTTTGTTTTTATTTATATACATGTACAATACATATATTTTGTATATACATGTATCTTGTATTTACATATCAAAATATGTAAGTACAAGACACATGTATATACACGTATATAGTATGTCAATACATATTTAAAGGAAATGTGATAAACAATAAAATTGCATATTCTACAGTATTTATACTAAAAATGCTACTCTACCTTTCAGTGTCTTTTGGAAATCTAAAGAATGATAACTCATTCCAAACAGCTTTATTTTTTGAACAATTAATAGCTGACACAGTGCACTCCAGAATGTTTATTTCATCCCATAGTTCACGAAAAAATGCTAGCATTTGCTACAAAGTTGCACATGTGCAGATTAACTTATGGGACAGACATGAAACTACTTGTCATTTATACTATGACTCTCTTCCCAACATCCCACATGACTTCCCTTTTCATTGTTCCCAATGGTTCTCAGAATAAACTCCTCTCCCATGTTGCTTCATGAAAGATTTAGAGGGGACAAAAGTTCCAGAAAAATAAAGGACAAAGAACAAACAACAGAGGGAAAGATGTTAGGATTGAAAATATTATAAACAATATAGCAGACAGCCACATTAAAAAAGAGGATTTATTATTGGCAATTCCATATGATTAAATATATATAAATCAATAAAAAAGTTCAAATCACATTATTTTATTTATTAACATAATAATATTGTATGGTATGTTTTTTCAAAATAAATACTTTCCTACTTCTATGCATTCAAAGCTAGAACTACTTAAAATAAGTAAGACAAAACCTTTGACTTCACACTTGTTTCTAGCAGTTTGAATATCTGCTAAATGACATTCCAACTGACCTCATTGTACCTGAAGAAAGCCATTCAAAGTGGCCAAAAACATTTGTACCTTGTGATTAAACAGCTAGAATCAAAGTGTGAAAGGTTTTGTCTTACTTAAATACTTTCCTAAATATTAGCATTCATTTGGAAGCATAACAATGACTCAATGACAATTCAAATAAAGTTTTCTTTCAAATAAATGCTAATATTTGGAACTAAAAATTTTATGTATACTGATACTAAAATTACTGATTCAAAGTATATTTTCTTGGAATTAGTTACTTTCTTTGAATTAATTTATATTCATTATTGGCTATCTTACAATATACTGTTCAAAGTATTGCAAAATAATTTAATCAAGTATTTTTCTCAATTTTTGATACATAAAACTTAAAAATGTTATTAGTTATTTGAAAGTTTTAAATTCAAAATACAATGATAAAAAATTTGGCTAGTTATAACAGCTGTTACATTGTAACTTTAAAGTTTAAAATTTATTACATTTTCCCATTAGAATATTATTCATCACCCTCTATTTAGTACAAAAACAGAAGTTTAGAACAGAGATTCAAAAAGTAAATTATAACTTATTTATAAATATAATTTCTTAAACCATTAATTATCATTTCTTTACACTGACAATGCTATTGTTGAACTAAAACATCAACATGTTTTTTTTTTTTTTGACAGTTACACTAAAACTTTGTGAATACTAAGGAATATGCAATTATGACTAAATTTTTTAGCAAAATGAAAAGTGCTTATTAGCCAATTCAATAATCTTCCAAATAGACTTTATGATCATATTAAATGGATTGGATTGGACTGCAACACGTGGGCAATGTCAAGGGGGAATGCATCCTGGAAGGACTTCCTATGAGAAACTGGTTCCTATTTAGGACCTATACTTACCATGCTTTACGTCATTATGCCATTCTCCAACGTATCGATCTCCATTAAGAAAAAACGTGGTTCTTCTAAGCCCTTCTCTTTCGGCCAACTTCTGCCATTTTTTCCACAGCGGAGGCTCGACGTGTTTTCTCTGTAATACGTATTTGTCTCTTACTATAATCCTTTCCATTTCATAAAAATTGAATAATAATTTGATTGGAATTAAATATTTTATATGAAAAAAAATTTATTTTAATTTAAATATTCTATAATTTCGAATTTATAATTATAAACAAAATCAAAGAGGGCGCTATTAGAGAATTGAGATGTGATTTACTTAAGACAAAAACTGATGTTTTAATGTATTCTTGTATCTAATTTTACGAAACACATATTAAAGTGTGGTTTTAAGTGACAAGTAGTTAACAAGTAAGCAAACCAATAATATTAATTCGCTAACTTAGTAACTTGCTATAAGTAGCAAAAGTTTAAGGACCGAAAAATCTATATATAAATGAGGATGTTCGTTTGTTTGTTCGCTATGCACACCTAAGTTGTTCGACGAATTGCTACAAAACATGACAGTTACGTTAACATACGTCTAACTTGGATAATATCATAAATATCACACGAAAACATTGATTGGATGTCTATATATCAATTAATTTCTGTCTACATTTCATTTGCTGGGTTTACATATGGGTATTGGCAAATTTAAGAATAACAAACAATCAGTGGCGTGCCGTCATTACAAGCGTTGGAAGCGCCACTTCCCTCGTATTCTCTAAAAAATAAATAAATATTAATTTTAATTATATGAAAATAATCGCACAATATTTTATTATAACCGCATTATATATCTTATTACAAATTTCTATACTACACGTGAAAAAAAAATTGCTATTGTATATTAGAATATTAGTGGCGGAGTGGAATCTCCTGTATTTTCAGATTACGAAAAGCCAGATTTGCGCATGCGCTTTACAGAGCACCAACCTCACCCGGTTTAGCCGGTGGAAGCCTACGACCTTGGGTGAAAGCTGCACACATATAAAGATTCCAATTCTATCAAGGACCGGTTCTGGGCTGTTAGCCGCCTGCCCACTAGATATTTCGATTACGTGAATAACGAGTAGATTTATAACTTAACCCAACCGATAAGAATTTACTGGTATGTTTTTACGATAGTTCTGTATAGTTGACAGGAGTTTAAAAAATCCATTAAAATATTTGATATATTTATTCCGCTCTCCGATTTTATATTACTCACGGATTTCAATGTTAAACCAGTGATATTACGATTTCGTATATCCCATCTTTAAGGGGATGTAGAAAAAAACGTGTACAATTCTTGTATAATGTTAAAAAATTAACTGTTACTTTGGTAGCATCATTTACAACTAAATTTAATGAATGAGAGAGATGCACGAGGTACAGAAAAAGCTCTAGAATTTATTTTCCTTAAATTTACGATTTATGTATCCGTTTGTCATAAAAATTTGTCTTTCCACTTTTTTCCCGAGACTACAAATATTCGAGTACAAAGTAACCGGTTTCGACTTATTTCTACTTAAGAAGTAGTTAAATAATTAAGCGATTAGGGAATTGGGGACATAAACAAAACCCTGACGAAAGAGCCGGAATATTACTTAAACAAAAGCTTAACCGAACCAATCTATAGCCGAGTACAGTGGGGACTGATTTCTTCGAAATACTGTATTAGATGTAATAAAGACAGAAATTTTTCCAGTTCGACGAGAGTGACCGAAAAGTTGTAAATTTTGGAAATTTCCGTGGACAACACCTGGTCCTAAAACGAATTAGTTAGAAAACAAACGACGGACAATCTATTAAGTTTAACATATTTAGACTTTTACAGCTATGGTGAGAAACGTTTAAAATTTACAAGAACCCTGTCGCGTCTTTTGAGGTATATTAGTGATGCGACAAAAGAAACATTTGACATTGCCAAATCCCGAGGGTATCGGCACCCTCGGGATTTGGCAGCCCGCGTGCATGTACAGTACACACCGCACACCTAGCAGGACCGTCTCTGATTCCACTCGTAGGGAGCTATTTGACTAAGTGGTTAAGATTTAAAGAGTAAAGAATATTTTATGTTATTTTCATGTACGTTTCATTACAAAGTTATATTTAATTATAATTTTCTTTAAAAGTATATTCATACAATTGAAGAATGTTTTGTACCAGGTATGTATATCCACCACACATTTTATTTCACCAAGTAAGTTTTTATAATTTTATTTTTAATTTTAGCCCTTATATCGTGGCTAGCGATTCGGAATGTAATTGCGATATTGAAAATTTATTTTAAAAAAGTTTTGGCTCGAGATCATATAATGAAAAAGAAAACATTATTAAAAGAGAAAGGCCAATGCCTAAGTTAAATATAAACGCTTCAATAAAAAAATTTGTTCGACATTTTCACGATAAAATGGCTCTGTAAATGCATAAAAATGCAAAAATTGTTTTGTTGGCTTGCCTACTATTTTCAAATGAAATTAGTGTGTGGAATAAGAATGGCTTTGACAATTTAGCTGGCAAAAGACACGAAAAATCGTCGATTCTTTCGTATTTGAAGCAATTTGGAAATCGAAGCGGAATAGAATTTAACATTAGTAAATAATATAAAATAAATATTGAAAATTGTAACGAGATAATTATGGGTAATAGATATATTATATCTAAATAAATAGATGTTATATGTTTTTATCAAAGCAAGAATTGGCATTTAGAGGGCATATGGAATATATTGGATCTAATAACAGAGGTAATTATAATGAACTTGTTTATTAAGTACGTCAGATAAATAATCTATTAAAAATACATTTAAAGTAAGAATTAACTGATTGCCCCTGGATGTCGGCTTCTTATAGAAACACAGCTTCCCTATCATCAAATGTCACGGCACGCCCCTGCAAACAATATAATTCTTATATATTTTTAAAAATTATATCTATTTTATTATATTCACTTCATTACTAGGACAATGATATAGCGTGAAATAGAAGCACTATAATTACTGCAACAGGTAGTACTGTACTGTAAAATACATAACACTTTGCCTGAGTGACAGGTAGTACTGTACTGTACAGTACATAACACTTTGCCTGAGTGACAGGTAGTATTGTACTGTACAGTACATAGCACTTGCCTGAAAAAAAGTCTATAAGTATTTAATTTTCCACATTAACAACTCGGGTTTTTTTCATTTCTGAATGGCACTTTCTTAATTCTAACGAGAAATTATTTATTGTGATATCGTCACAATGCCGGGCTGCAATTTTTAATCACATTTTTAATTTATTTAATATAAAATATGTGCTTTCAGCCTCAAATTAGTAGTGGCTTGCCCCTGTACATCATACTTTTCCTTTGACAATAGAATCGTGCCAGTCATCTATCTATCACCTTACAGGGAAAAATTTTTGAATCGAAATAATGTGACTGCCATCGGTTTGCCATCGGAAGTTCGTATATAGTTAATCGGGGCCTCCTACCCCTAAGCTTTCCATATCCAGTCTTGAATTTCATTTATCTACCTCAACACCGTTCTCGACATTAAGAAAATACAGATAGATAGACATACTGATAGTGTACGTATATTAAAAATGATCAGTTTTGAAATAAATACATATGCATAGGTTTAAAGATGATGTCAAGAGTTAAGATACCTGGATGTAAGGGCGAAAACAGCTAACTCGTGAATAGAAATACAGTGGTGCCTCGTACAACGTACTTAATCCGTTCCAGGTGCACGTCCGTTAAGTGAAACGTCCGTTATACGAAACGCATTTTCCCATAGAAATACATGTTAAAACATATAATTCGTTCCGCAGCATAAAATAACCGTACTGTACCATAAAAAATGAAAATGGAGCAGACACCAATTATGCCGGGTAGTCAGATGTGAGGAGGAGGTGGAAGAACACTTTCTTTACACATTCATACAGATACAGACTTTTTACACATTGCAGCGGGACTTTTTTTTATTGTTTTTTAATCGGAGTCAGATTCAGGAGAGGCAACCGGAACTTGCAGGGTCAACTTCTCGTGTTCCATCCTTTGTTTTTTGCCCGCTGGCTTATTGAAAAACATGACCAAGGTGGTCTGTTTCTCTTTCTTCTTTAACACCTGTCGGAAATGACGGACAAAGGTGTCATCGTACAGATCATTGATCCTGTTGGTTTCAGCTCTGTTTGGATAATGAGTGTTGGTAAACTCCTGAACCTCTCCCCATTCGACAAGAAAGTTTTTGTCAACTTTCACTCCTGATGATTTCTTGCTTTGTTTCAATTGAAATCACCTTTCTGTCTTTTTAGAAGCCATGATGCATTATAAATGACTTAACTTGCCAGATTATATGATACGAATAATTCTTTATTAATTAAGATCACTAAACACTTCTACGAGCTACTCTCGCTCCGTTTGTTTTTTACAACCTCTTTTCGTCCCGCCACCTCGGCATCTACACAATTACATTTCGTTTGTTTGAATCGTCAACATATATTACATTACATTTAATGTTTATTTAAATCATCAACATATATTACATTACATTTCTACTTCAGATATACTAATAATACATTCAAATAATACTAATATATTTTAAAAATAGCAGATTGTCATTGGCAACGGCAAAAGAGTGGAAACATCATTCGCACTTGTTCGAAGAAAGTCCATTGTTCGTCTCACGTAACTGCCGAACGGAAAGTCCGTTGTTCTCAGCCAGTCCGTTGCTCGAGTCACGTAACGGTCAAACAGAAAGTCCGTTATTCGAGGCGTACGTTATACGAGGCACCACTGTACTGTATATCCGAAAGCATGAGCATCCACAGAAAATTTTTCAGGGAGGCAAAGTTTGGAGAGAAATAATTACATTAATAAATGTTTTAAAATTTAATTTTACTTTTTCGACTGTTGTCTATAGCCTACATAACAAGGGAAAGTTTTTGAATCGTGTCAAATTTGACCTTCCGAGTTTGTTGTAAATCTCCACGTTTTGAGATCTCTTGAACCCAAACCAGGCAAAAAAATTTTGTAGATGTGTGTGTGTTGAAATCAATTTCATTTAATATCTCAGAATAAGGTAAAGGTTATTAAGAAACCAAATCTGGCACTGTAGCTTATGTATTGGGATTGATGCAATTCAATTTTGGTGGTTAAAGGTCAACAGGTTTGGGGTCACGTGTCGTATCTGAGGAGGGATCGGATTTAATGAAAACTTTACTCGTTATTATCATTTAATTTTTTTTTAAATAAAAAAGTCATCTCTACCTCCAAAATTAAGCACTTTGACATTTCATAATATTTAATAACAAGCGGTTCCATTCCCTGAACACTGGGAGTTCGATCGGCCAGTAATAAAAATATGTAGTTTAATTAAAAGCTACATATTTTTTATTACTGGAATAGACAGGGAGGTAAAATTTACATTTTTTCACAACCTTATTACTTTCACCTTTAAAAGCATTCACTAGTTTTAGCATTACCC